TCCAGACTTATTTGTTCATTAATGACGTCATCAGCGACTAGTCGACTTCGACTCGACTTTCATCACATAAAAGTCAACTTTAAAAAAATCAGAAGTCGTTCAACCCCTACTCCATATGGCTCCGGTGCATTAATAAAGGCCTTCTGAAGTGAAGCGATGCGTTTGTATAAGAAAAATATCCATATTTAAAGCTTTAGAAATTGTAATCTCTAGCTTCCGCTAACTGTCGTACACGTTCATGAGAGAGTGGCATTCCAGCGGTGCAGCATAAGTGCAGAGGAGAGAGCAAAACAAAACACTGGTCATGAATTAGAAGTACAAAACGAGGATTTGTAAAGAAAAATGTCAGAGGATTTCGATATAAACCAAGAGGAGACAAAACTTGGTTCTAACGGAAGCTAGAGATACATATATACAAAATTCAAAATTCATATATTTTCGATCACCGAAATTCAGTGCATCACTTGAAAAAATATATATAAAAAAGTGACGGCTGACAGAGAAGAGGGGCACAGTAAAACAGCACGGGCTCAGAGTTTGACCTCTGCTTTGATATGTAAGGTCTTCAGCCTCAGGCACAGTCTCGGTATGGCAGAAACTGCAACAACATACACATAACAACAGCCTTTACATGCCGCTGAGTCAAGATCTCATTTCATATACGACTCGAGAATAATCACATACGAAAACCTCACTTCAAACTCACAGACAGAACAAAGAGCTATTCATGGTTTCCTGAGAATCAATCTCTCAGCATTATCTCATCTCTTACACCCCAAGCCAGCCTCTGCTATTCTCTAAGTCCAAGTCTAAGTTCGCAGATCCATGATAAAGCCCACACCGCTACTGGAATCATACCATATGTACACAGAAACGCACACTATTGTGTCTCAATCACAGCAGTCATGTGAGGCCTCATCTGATGTTGGCATGCACATTCATTCTCGCCGTCTGATATCAACGTCAAAGCTGTACATATCTCGCTGACATTCTCATGTTGGGG